GTCGACACGTGATTTGGAGGAGTCACGTGCGCAACCTCTCCTCCCATAGCTGTCAGGGGCGGGGTGCTGCGGTGAAGTTCAGTTGAACATTCAGGTTGCGAAAAAAGGGGAAAAATCAGGGATTTAAATAAAAAAGAAATAAAGTGTTGAATGGCAGATTGTTTAAAATTACCAACACTAGCAATAAAATTTATGTGAATGACCATCTGCAGTTCAGTTCAATTTTGTTTTCGTCATGTTAATGTTCTTCTTCACTATTATACTATACAAATAGTATAAAAATAGTATTGATATCAAACCGCAACTCAAATTGAAGCTATAAAAGAAAGCACATAGTAATAACTATCTAGGTACCATAATAGAGTGAATAGAGTTCAGACATCCAGTAAAATGTAATAAATGTAGGCTTGTAGATTACGATTTACCATCTGGTTCATAAAATGAAATGTGTGCATTATGATTTAGAAAACAGGAAATGTAATCTTTACTTAACCTGACTATTTTATTTGTCTGATTCTGTAACTGAATGTTTGTTTTGGGGTCATAGCTTAACACTTCACTTAACATATTGTTTGCACACGTCTTCATCAAAAAAAGGCTTTTTGTTTTTGGTGAGGTGCCAAGCCAGTCAGAGAGATGCAGCCACAGCGTTCTCTTGAGCAGACGAGGTTTTGCGGATGGGAAGCGCTGATCAGTTGTAAGAGAGTCTCAATTTTACTTTAACGTACCACAGATGTTGGGAAGTTAGCACTGAAACATGTGCGTTCGCAACTGTATGTTTGCAATTACTAGCAATTACGTGAATTTTATTTTCACTGTCAAAATAAAAGTTCATTCAGTCTGTTCATAGCATGCACTGCTCGTTATCACTCTTCCGGTACTACTCGGAATCACTGAATTTCTACAGGCTAGTTTCGCAATAGTAGTAGGAAAGGAGGCTGCTCAACTATGGGAGCATGTGAAACGCTCGCGGGCCGGATGAAAATGCTCCGCGGGCCGAATCTGGTAATATTGAAAATCACTGCCCTACGAGTGCTGTAGGGGTAATAATATAGTCACTTCATCTGGAACACCTGCTAAAAATTCTGTTTACGAAATACATTATTATCAATGTTGCATGCTTTAAAATAAATCATAAATGCTAACAAAAAAAAAAAAAAAAAAACATTTAAAATGACACAAACCTGACTTGCTGTAGACCTCTCTAAAACAGTGTTACTAAATCAGAAAACTGTCTGGCTAAACATATTTTATATTAACAGCTGGGTGTGCCCTGATAGATTACTGATCTATCAATACTTTTGTAGAAATACTTATACAAAATTTTTTTTTACTGGAAATATGTCATTAAAATTACGCGTCATCCCAAAGAACAGTTACTTTTATAATATTATTATGGTCTACGTGCCATATATGAGAAACTCATTTCAGAGATAGCATTGGGTTTTGAGCAATGGACATTTTACCATGTACATCCATTACCAATTCGCTCAGTGTGGCAACCTGAGCAGCATTGGAGGATGGGGGCTGTGTATGTGTAACTAGCTAATTATCGTAACTTAACAGGTTACTAGAAAAAACTGATGCAGAGGAAGCAACACAAAGTCTTAAACCAACTACACTGCCAGTCTTTTGATCTATTCAGAGGTAAATATGTTTGAAATAGCAATTTGACCTAACTAAATCAACTGCAGAGGTGAAAGAGAAGGGGAATCTTATCCTAAAAATCTGGCCACGATCACCTGTTTTTCTGGTCGATGCTTTTATCACTGATGTACACCAATGCCCAGGCAAAGATGTTTGTATCATGTATCTTGCACCTATAGCCTGTAGCTTTTATAGCCTACAAATAGATAGGAGAAACAATACTATCTTTAGGCTAAGTTTGTTCTTGAAGATAGGTGTCTGTAAACTAAGAATTAAAAGTAATGGCAGCATTTAAAAAAGTGAGGAACTAGCCTTCCAGACAAGTGACTGTACATATAGTGTATCAATTCCCTTTCATTTTCAGTAAAACCGACAAAAATATCAGATATTTTTGTCTTTTGATTCCATAAAATAATTTGTCATATTTTTCATTTGTAAAACCCAACATCAAAACTTTCATCCTCCATATATTACCTCCAAGAGTAAGCACAAATGGACTACATAGTAGAAACAGGCTGGTATACAGAGTAAATCATATACAATCAATAGATAGGGAATATCAATAAGTTGTTCCATAAGTTTTGCCTATGTTCACTTGCTCAATGTTCATTTCTTGGCGAGTAACTTCACTCGTTTTGGAAAATGTTTTTTTGCACATTTACATTCACACATTTGCAATAACATGTCGTTAAGGGAAATGTGCTGCTGGCTTTCATGGGTCCCATGAACTTCGAACTGTTCTCCCAGTAATATTGATCAAGGTTAACTATTTCCAAGCCAGTAAAAAAAATCACCATGAAGCTCTACCTGGGTTTAAACAGATTAAAAAGTTTACACTTACCCATAGTCCCACTGCCAGTACCACCAAAAAGTAGATAACAATCACTGAAATATCTGCAGGGTTGTTAACGGCCACATTAACATTCCCACTGCTGTTTGTAGTCCTGAGCAAGGAGAACCCAAAGTAGTCATACATTTCTCCTGCCAGTCAGTGTTTGGTGCGAGCAAAAAGGGACTCCAGTGCCAGTAACCTGTGGAAGGCTGTATACTAAACTTGCAGGCGGCCACTGTGTGCATTTATACCGAACCAGCCACTAACAGCTAACCCTGATGGGGGCGTGCTCAGCACACTCTTACCTGTGCTGTTAATGGCACAATCAGTGTCTCTCAGTAGGTATACGTGTGTGTGTGTGTGTGTGTGTGTTTCAGTGAATGTGTACTGAAGTAAGTATTAATGATCAACTCACCAGGAACTCTTTTAAGGAAAGAATTTTATTATCGTAAAAAACCTGAGAAAATAAATTCACTAAATTGAACACAACTGCAAATGGATAACTACAAGTATCACATCTGCAAAGATGGAGCATTACTATTAACTGGAAGTGTTTGTTAAATATAATTCATTAACTTATAAATAGACCTCATCAGATAAGAGTTTAGTTGAACAGGCAAAAGCCTGCATCCTGAATGGTTTACAAAATCTAGGTTTGTGAATGTTTGTGAATTGTCTCAGGTAAAGCTGGAGGTGGAGGATTTAGAAAAGGCTGGTCAATTCTAAGAGTTTTCTCACTTCTTGCTGCTGGTGTCTTCCAGCTTGGAGAAATGTTGTTGGACAGCTCATGGTTTGGACTGTTTCTGTTTCAGAAATATTTCAGTTACATCTTAGACTTCACACAAAGCTTCCTGGTGAAACTCTGCCCTTAGACTTTAACGCTATTCTTGGCATTTAACTGAGGTGTTTAAACATCAAACAGTCATTACAGGATTCTGTTCTGTACTAGTAGATACAGTAGTTTACTGCATGGGAACAAACTGGTGAATGTAAAACATCTCAAAATAAAGATAGTAGAAAATATATGGAATAATGAATACATTATAAATCAGTATAAATGTGAACACTGGATTTCTCTTGCATCCCAAAACTCCCCCTGTGCTCGGGTCAACTGAGTAGCATTAAATGGTGTTAAAAGCGTCAAAATTGGAGTTCAGTTTAATCTGTATATATAAGAGACCACTGATTTACCATTCTTTGCCACAATATTTCTGTCCCTAAATCTCCCATGCACACTCAGTTTGTTCCTATGGGAACATGGAATCCAAGAACTTGCCTGTACTCCCCCATGCCCCCTCCTTCATCTGTAAAGTGTGAGAAACTGAATAATTCTATGAGACATTATGACGAGACCTTCTGTAGCTTTTACAAATACGATAGGCACAATGGAGCAGCTCCTATTATAAATATGGTATGTTTCCGTCAGTCAGTACTGGCTGCTGATTTGCACACAGTCATGAGTAACTAGTCATGTGAGCAGGTCTGGCTGTATTGCAAATTCTTGATCATGAAAGTGATGTAGAAATGGAAGAATCTGAATGTGAAGACAGTGTGGAAGTCAATGTAGACAGGAACCTGAGGAAGAGGACACAGCTTCACAGGCCAGCAGCAACCAGGAGGGACACATCTGTCTAAGAATGGCAGGTAGAATTATCCTCATCCCCCTTGAGAAGGATGCCACTTTCAGCTGCCAGCACAATAAACATGAGCAGATTCAGCATGGATGGCAGTGACTCATATCAGCTCTGCTTCTGACCTGCTGATTCATGACTCAAAGAATGCACTGCCGAGGGGGAAGCATGATGAATCAATGTGTTATATTATCTTAGACCCATATAGATTATAATTTTGGCTGAACCTACCACAAATATCACTCTTATTGTCTAGCAATTAGCATTTAATTGCAGAAAGATTGACCTAGAACATCTGGAATATGTAGAACGAGTGTTTCTTCTCTGTGTATCATTTCACACGTATCTATGTACTCTCAGTCCTTAACATGTAATATACAAGTTAGATTAGAAATGAGATAGATGGGATCTTTTATTGTAAAATGAGTGGTATATTCAGAAATAAAATTAGTTTTATGGGCAAATTATAAGCCACAGATACAATCAATTTTGTTTTTGTTAGTAAATGGGGTAAAGAACGTGACTACAGAAGAAATTGAGATATAATCTTAATTTTGTGCTACTGTAGATTATTAAACATATCCAGGGTTAAAATGGCCCAGTTTAGTTTGGTTATATCAACAAAATGACCATAATAGGAGGTTTAACATATTCATTGACATGTATTAATGCAGACTGATCATTAGGGATGCATATTTAAGCATTTATGATGCAGTCAGTAATAGCATAGTGCACTGTTATAACAGTACCATATTCAAAGGGAAACTGTCAAGTGACGTATTAGTCCTTTGAACCAGTGGTGTCTAGAATCATGCACTGCAGTATTAATTAGTAAATGCAAATAAAAAGGATGGTAATACATGTAATTGATGTATTTACAAATATTTGATGGGCAACCTGTAGTCTAGTGGCTAAGATACATGGCTGGAGTTCCTGAAGTCAGGGGTTCAAGTCCCAGTCTTGCTCCAGGAAGAATACCACCAAGTGCCCCCAAGCAAGGCCCCTCATTGTGTTGTTTATTTCAAATGATAGTGGGTGTTATTCATACTTGGCAACTAAGATGTAAAGAAAATGGTGAGTGTGGTGAGGCTTGGGCAATGCTGTGCCTATTGAGAAGGGGTTTACTACAATATTGCATTTATTGGTTATTATAATGTTCAGTAGCTACACAGGACATACATACATTCATCGAAACAGCGTTCGAAATGTGTCCATGTTAGTTTTGATGATGTTCAACCGGTAAAAATAAATTTCACAGCAGTGAGAAGACAAAAAGAAAAAAAAAAAAACTTGAGTCTTGGCTAGTATTAAGATGTTTTGATGATTTGTTGCTCAACTCAACTCAAAAATGTGCATATGTCCAGTCATTGTGGATATGCTTGAAAAAGCAAACAGTAATGTTTCCCTATTAATGTAAATTATCCAATTACAATTGCACTTATACTTAAGTGTAGGTAAACTTTTCGAGGATGAAATATTCTGTGGGATGATCTTTTAATCTGACAGGTCATGAGCACAAGGATGTCATCCAGAAATGTGAATTGCAGGCTACTTGTTATGATATACATGTGGTAGGCAGTGGTCGATTTGCAAAATTCAAAGTGGATGGTCAATGTCAGAGTGGAAGGGTGGTAGTATATGTCTACATTTTTTAAATTAATGCATTATCATCAGAAAAAAAGACAGAAAATGTACTTGTAACTCGTATTATTAATATGAAAACTACAAAAAAACTATCCAATTATTTACAATATCAATGCATTGTATTATGACTAGCACAGGATTTCAAAAACAGACCTCTATACTATCACAACTGCATACAAGTTACTGCTTAATGCACCTTTTACATGCAATACCTCACCCTCTCATTAGAATCTAAAATCGGTCATGTTATTTCAAGCAAATAAATACCTTCACGCACATGTTCGTTTGCTCGCAAGTGAACAGGTTAGCTGCTAAGCTATATAACATGTTCATGAACACTTCTCATTCAAGATTAAACATTGGCTGAGCTGTTGCCGAGGATTTGTAACATAAAGGACATATTAAGCAATAATAATACATGAGACTGGTTATCTCTCACCTGTTATTGTCCTCTTTACTAAAAAACTTCTAAGATCCTGCTGAACTGGTCGTTAAGCCAGACCTGTAGCATCAGCCAATTCCCATCCAAAGCAAAACTCACGGTGAAGTTGATTTAGCCAATGAGAAGTATGCATTGTCAGGCTCCAATCAAATAAGCAATAAGCAATCAGAAGCCATAAACAGACGTACAGACGATACAAGACATCACAAACTGGAGTGCAAATAACATAAGAATTACATTTAAATATCGCTGAGATTTTGTCTGTTTGTGATTAGGTGATAAATAGCATAGATAATTCCATTGAAGTAAAGGGGATGGGAAGGGAGAAGACAATTTTAAAGGGAGAATTGTTGTGGTCAAGAGTTTTTCCAAGGAGGAGGGCATCCTCCCTCAACTTGAGCCCTGGCGGTAGGATACACCGACATCCTTTGTTGAAGGAGAGGAGGAAGCAAGTGGAGGAGGTGAAATTTCGTTTCCTACCGGCTGCGTTGCAATACTTTTTCTTGTCTCCTCCTTTCCTACCCCGGAAATATGCCGGAAATATGTGGAGGAAAGGAGGGGAGGAAACGAGTGGAGGAAAGGAGGAAAGGAGGAGATGAATTGAAAATTGAAACAGCTAATCCGATTCGCCCGCCATCAAAGTCGACGTCGGCTTTTGATGAAGTAATAATTTCGACTGACTCCGAGGATACCAAAGCCAATCACGCTTCTTTAATGCTGCCAGCCCTTTTCATGTATTAAAATACAAATTTCAGTTTCTTGCATTCTGCTCATGATGGAACATAAAAATTTGTAAAAGGAATAAATAAATTTACCACAACATAAACTCGCTCAATTTTACATAAATTTACCTTTTCTATCTCAAAAACGTGAATATATTGCGTCATTGAGGATATGTTTGAAAACGCAAAACAACAGTTTTCCCGTTGTTGTAAATCACCGGATTACTGTTTTGGCACTTACCCTTCAGTGTTGGTCATGTTTTAGGACTTTTCGATGGTGAAATATTCAGTGGGATGGTCTTTTACTCTGACTGGTTGTGAGCACAATGATGTCACCCAGAAATGTGAAAAGACTTCTGTGGTAGGATACATCGATGGAGGAAAGGAGGAAACAAGAAAGGAGGAAAGGAGGGGACGAGATTTTGTTTTGGGACAGTGGAGGGAAGGAGGACACATAATCAGTTTCCAGGGCATGGAGGAAAGGAGTAGACAAATTTGGCTGCGTTCCAATACTCACATTTGTCTCCTCCTTTCCTTTCCTTAAGTATTATTAATAATATTATCATTATTAATAATACTTTTTCCCTTTTTTGTTTTCGTCTTTTGTTTGGAGTGTTTGGGGTGTGTTGGGGAGTTCCAACAGTGAGCGTGTGTGTATTAGTGAAAGTCTTGGCATCTGTGTGTTGAACTGTTTAAAATGTATAGTAAAGTCTTGCTTTTCTTTTACTTGTCCTGGCGCCCTTTGTGGTGGATGGATCTCAAGGGGGTAATGAACCGGTTGGGGTTCAGGGGTGAGGTAATGCCCCTCATGACAGTTATGAAAGTACAATATGAAAAATAATGGGCAACGTCACCAAGTTTATGCTTACAGAAAAACCAAATATGCAATGAAAACAACCAGTAGCTACAATAATAGGCCATCTCCCATGATTTTTTTGTTTTTTGTACTTTCAGAAATTTTTTCTTTTTTAACTGGAAATAGAATTTAAGTACTTTCACAGACATTTTCTGATACCACATCTTAGTTGATGACTGGAGCACAAGGCAATTTATTCCACAGTATTTAGGTCAAAGTTTCTGGGAATATTTTAATTATGGATCTGACAGCCAACAACTTTTAGCTGGGGTACAGCCCTCTAAGGGAGATTTCACTCAAAGTCTTTGAGAGGTCCATTGATGTAAAAAAAACATAACTAGAATTCAAGCCTCAGGAAGATGAGCAGCTGCAATGGTTCAAATACTATGTTTCAAACGATGTCAGATGCCTTTGGATGTTACATACTGTAGGTTATAAACTCCAGACAGCATGTGCTTGACTGTTTTAATAGCTGTAAAATGTAAACACTAACTCCAGACACGATTTTCATGACTTTACTCATTTTTTCTGTATTCACTGGGAAGTTTACGAAACAAGACTAAACTCCAAAGACATGATGGGCACGAAATAAACATTATCACTAATCAGGCATTGCTTAAACACAGAACATAAACTTTTCTTCTTATGCTGTAAACTGTCAAACACCCTGAGGGAGTGTCAAAATGGCTCTACATTTGATCTTGTCCATTATGTCAAGTAAGAAACATGATGATGTTAAGAGCGTGCTTCAGTCGGGGCTCCAGAGCAATATGCCGAAAGACAGGTGCTTCACATGATTTGACAGCTTCGGAGTGCTGTTTCATTCCACCCATCTCTACTTACCACCTGGCCCAGTGGCCACACCTGCCACAACACGTGTGGCTAGTTTTATTAAGGTACAGACATTTGATCTTGGGCATGGTGTCCAAGGGGGTTATTGTCATGCCTCACAATTTTTTGAGGGAGGTGAACCAGCCAAGAGGAACTAAATCTTTAACAAATGTGTAGGGCTGCCACCTACCTTGTGGACATACCGGGTTTTAACTAGAGCAGCTTCACAAAACATCCATGACTGCTCAATGCTGAGTGACTGTAGCTAAGATGTCTCCCGTTGAGACATCGCTGCCAATTTCAATCTCCATACATCAAACCATTACCCTGGCAGAGAGGGTTCTAGCACCTACCCACAGTATAACCCAGGGGTTGTGGATGGCAGGAACACCCCACTGTTTCTGAAGGCAGCTGCATGTTCATTGGACAAGAGGTCCCATTCCACCACAAAGCAAATTTGATGATGGTGTGATTTATCTGAGTGAATAGACATTGTTATGATTTGGTCCCCAAAAAGATGACAGTATGGAACGCAGGGCATGATTTAAGCTACTGGGCGTGGTGATGAATGTTGAGGTAGACATGAGAGACAATGGGTGGTGGGGCAGCCGACGGCTTGAACAGGGGATGGCGGCCTACTTGTGTGGATGCCTGTGCATGCAAGGGAGAAAGGAGGAAAGCGGAGCAGGGGCCAGTAGAGCATGCCGGGACATGGCAGTAGATGGCAGGAATCTGCCAGCTCCAGGGGTGCCTGTAGCAGAGAGAAAGTGTAAAGCAAGATGGGACTTAGCAGAGTATGCAGGAGCAAGTGGCCAACAACATGGCTGTCACGCATTAGCTCCAGGTGCACCTGCTGTGTGGATGCATGCGAACACGTGGGGATGTGTGTGCGAGGGAGAGAGGAGAGATGCAAGGAGGTTGACGGCATGACAATTGGTGGACTCAGCCAGCTTTAGTCATACCTGCTTATGTGGATGCGTGTGCGTGTGAAAGAGATAGAAAGAAAGCGGAGCAGGGACTAGCAGAGCATGTGGGGGTGTAGCAGCAGATGGTATGACCATTGGGTGGAATGGCCAGTTCTGGGGGCACCTGTAGCAGCGCAGCAATCAGGTTCCGGGTGCGCCTGCTGCGTAGATGCGTGTGCGAGTAAGGGTTGGGAAAGGGGGCAGAATGAACATGTGTGGCTGCAGGAGTGGAAGAGTGCAAGACCAGGACCTGGGAAGTGTGCAGGGTATAATCCGCTGGCTCCAGGTGTGCTAGCTGCTGAATCAGAGCAGGGGAATGGGGCAGAGCTAGGCACAGCGGGGAGGGGGAAGGAAGAGAAATCTGGAACCTGCAGGGTGTGCGGGGGCAGGGCAGCTAGAGAGGGCAGAAGAGAGAGAAAGATCAGACACAGTGGGGAGATTCAAATAAAAGGCTTGAGAACCCGTTGAACATGCGGGGGCGAGGCGGCTAGCGACACAGTTGCTAGG